TTGCATCCTAACAAGTCGCAAAATCAAAAGTAGAATTTCAGTCCATATATAAGCTGCTGTTCATGTCCACGCAAAGGTTGAGCAAAGATGCTGCAACAGGGCAGCTCTGTGGAGATTCACTCTGACCTGTCTGTACACCACCCTCCAGTCTGGCGCTCTGGTCGGCGTCTTCAGTCGGTCCGTCTGGGTCACACTCTGAAGAACAACTTACCATTTCAATGGTGATCTGCGACTCCTCGTCTTTGACAAGTGACGGGGGAAATCCTGGTGAGGTGGAGATCTTAGTCAGGAGCTGTAATGAGTCCTGGTCAGCACTGGACTCCATGCTGACACTCTTACACAACAGGTGGAGGCTCTGACGCATCTCGTCCAGGTTCTGCTTCAGTTCCGTGTGCTCCTGCAGCAGTCGCTCTTTTTCACTTTTCTGTGGAAGAAAAAAAATCAGCCAACAAAGGGTTAATTTTTAAATTCTTCTTCTTAATTCTGGTGCAAGGTCAGTGAATAAACGATACACTGGAAAACACGTACTAGTTTTTTGATTTCACATTCTAGGTGTTGTATTCCATCTAGTTTCCTCTTCCTGCAACGCTGAGCAGCCACACGGTTTTTGCTTCGTCTGCGTACATCGTGGACAAACTCTAGCTGATCTGGAGTCAGATGATGGTTCCTCAAAAGCTGCTGGAAGGCACTGCGATTCAGGGTGGAGATCTGTTCTACTGGAAACGGAAGATCAATCTGTACACAATGAGAGTGATCATTTATATTAATTAAACTACAAACATGGCTCAAAGCAAAGTTGGTCATTTCTTAATATTACATTTAGTTTACATAAGTTTAATGCCAATAAAAACACAAAATAATAAGCATGTGAGCTGAGGGAAATTACAACTGGAGAGTTAAAATATATAATAAATGTTAACAGGTATTAATTATAAAAAAAAACCTGTAGTATAAAACAAACATCTGTGACTGTCGTCTGGAAAAGGCTTGCAAAAATGTCAGGCTGCTGCTGTTTCCCAGACTGCTCGGCTCACCAACAAAGATGACTAAATTATATTGTATCTAAGGACAATGACAAGTACACTGTGACGAGTACAGTACATGCTACACAGCAGTATAAGCCACAATGTATAATTTAGAAATAAAAACAATTGTGAAATCACAATTAAAACCTGAGATTTATAACTGTGAAATAATATCAATGTAGTGATTAAAAGTTTTTGGTTGAATCTGATTTTGCTATTTTTGGTAATGTGACTATACGATAGGTATGGCTCGACACAACTGTATCATGTCCAATACCGACATTGACAGCAAGCACAAAAAGTAATATGTTCTTCAGAGCTAAACATTTCCCCAAAAACTGCACAAGTTCACCTGAACTTATGACCCTAATTACTGTAAGTGCTATACTTTTTTGTAAAAACAGGGATTTATACTGATCATTTTACAACTTGACCTTCATAAACTCAAGAACTCAGAAAAATTTATTTTAGTAATGTTTTCTGGAAATTTCCAATCCACAAACATCAGTTTAGCATCACACTGACCTCAGCGGCTCTCTTGTTGTTAGCTTCAGTGTCTCCATCAGTGTCCAGATCCGAGTCGTCAGCAGAGTTGATGGAAGAGGATAAGCAGGGGCTCTTCTCCATCTGGGACAGACCGTCGGTGCGTGGAGTCAGGTCGCTACCTGTCCCCAGGTCCTTGAGAAAAGGGCAGTCCCCTGCACTGGAAGACAGGTCCAGCTGCTTCAGCCAATGGAAATCAGACGCTTTTGCTAAAGTGTTTGGGTCCATTGAATCCTGAGGGAGAGTTTGACTCTGAGACTGACATAGGTCAGACCAAAACCCTTTGGCCAGATGTTCGGCCACCTCCCTCTCCACGCTGCTCCTCTCCCCAAAACCCTCCTGTTGACTTAAAGCAGTAAGTGCAGTGTCTGCGATTTCAGCAGCCATTCTCTGTTCCAGGTTGGTCTCGGTCTGACCTGACAAATCACTGCAAGTATCAGCGACTGATGTGTTGATTGGACAGGAAGTGGGGTCCAAGTTGGTTTCTGCATGAAGCGTCTGAACACTGCGTTTCGCCTCCTCTGGTGTTGACAGCTCACAGGCTAAACCGCAGCTAAACACATCTCCCATCTCTAAAATGTCTCTGTCACAGAACTGAGACTGGTCTGCTTTGTCAGTGTCCTGGCATGGCAGAGACAACATGGGGCAAACACTGTTTGGTGCTAATAACAGAGATAACGGTTCCATCTGAGGCCCACAGTTCTGCAAACAGAAGCTTTCCTCCTTGGGACCTTTCTGACCCTGGGCACTCTGAGGACACTGGGAAGGGATGTTTTTTTGTTCATTGTGTCCTGAAGGCACTCTGCTGTGTGGTTCTGATGATTTAGGTCGGCTGCTGCTTTCACTGGAGACAAACTCACAACTCATACCAGCGTCTGGGCTTTGACAACATGCTGCTCCACGTCTGAGTTCCTGTGATGTTCTTTTGCCTTCAGTAAACTTGGGGATGAGGAAATCGAAGCACGATGACTCCAAGTCTCGGAACCCCAGGCACTCAGCACTTCTGCAAATGTCATGGATGTTCTCTTTTGTGAAGAGCAGCTGTGACGTGTAGGCAAACTGTAGCAGAGGCTCAAAGCCCCCCACAGTCACCTGGGGGTAAAGGATTAACAGCAAGTGGGAGCCAAAGTTAAATTTGTGTCAGAATGAACCTTAACACTGCTGTGTTTAAGACACAGGTGAAGAACAGAGAAACAAGTTGACCAATGGTAAACTGGAGCTTAATATTCCCGAACACAGTAAACACAAGCTTTAAACTTAAGCATTCCAGAATATACTGTATATGGTGGACTATTTCTGGCTATGCACTGACTGAGCTTCAGTTTTTATAGTTTTCTTTTGGACTTGAGCAAGTTCAGCTAAATATATGACAAACACTTAACAACTTCTCTCTTTCTACACATTCAAACTTTTACACTGTTAAGAGAAGTTTTTACAAAGACAATATTGTATGACTGGTAATACTTGTTTGCTGAAGCTCTGGGCTTCTTTGTGCATTCAGCCTTTTATGAATACTGCAAACAAAAACCATCCATCTTAACCCTATTTTACTGACCTCTTCAGGTAGGGTAATGACTGGATTCTGCGCAGCGCCACATGCGATCCTGTTGTGAAAGTATTCACTGCAAGACGCCAGGACAGAGCAGTGGGCTCGAAAACTCCTGTTCTCCACCACCACCGTCACGTCACAGAGGATGTCCTGCAGCCTTTGGTCATTTAGGCATTGCAGCACGTGATCGCTGTGCACGGCAGACTGAAATGTGAAGACTGAAGTGCGAGGAGCCTGAAGTGTCATGGTTCTTACAAGCTTAGCCTGTGTAATAGAGAATGGGGAAATAAAGAAATGGTCACCACACACAAACAATACACTTCACTGTATCATATGAATACAATAAATAGACTTTTTCATCAACCAAGAAATGAACTAGCAAGATATTTTCTATTGCGCAAAAGGGGAAGATTATATTACTTCCTGTTCTTTAAATATATAAGTGTTCTCATTCATTCTTATATACTAGTGGACACTATTACAAATGTTGACACCCAAAATACGTTTGTTGTAGCATAGCTGGTTTGATGTGCGGATAAAAAAAATTCAATGAAAGACATTTTAAAGAAACTATCTCACAATAATGAGAAACTGTAAAATATATACTAAAAGCCTAAACGTATAATTAATGATATAAAAGCACTTTTACACATAGTGAAAAAACAGTACGACTGATATATTTGTAAATGCCGTGGTCACAGGATAAATATTTAAGTTTTGTCCATCCGACATTATTGCGTCTAACAGTCAGCAAACCATCTATACAGTATATACATATATATTAAACGGGTGTGTGCTTTGAATTCAGTTAAACGTGATGAGGGGCATGTCACGCTTTAAAACGTGCACAGTAAGCTTAACTCAGCAAGTTTAAAAATGCTGACTCATATTTTACCAGCTTTCACCGCTGTCAGATAAAGAAAACAAGTGTACATACGCACTGCCTAATTTATTTAAAAAAGATCTTCACAAGTTAGCAAATGTCGACGTTTTCACCGAAGTCGCATTAATGGAAAAAAGTTTATCATTTCAGGTCTTTTCAGCTGAAAAGCTACGGCTAAAGGGCCGCCAGACCGTTAGCTGGACAGATCGAGGAGGAGCTTCCTGTTTTTTTATAATAGCAACAAATAATGAATACGTTGATGAAAAGCTAATTTAAATTATGTTAATTATCAATACACTCACCTGTCAGCTAAGAACTGTAGCCATGAGAGAGTTTCAGGATATAGATGACTCAGACCATCTGAAAAGTGAGCTCGTCATGTGACGAGGAGAAGCAGGAAGTGCTTTCCGCAACTTACTGCGCATGCTCGGTGCAAAGACTAGCCAGTGAAATTTTAAGGGTTTCACCCATATCTTAATGGCTTTCCAGTTACGTAGAAAAACATATGTCAATTTTAAGTTAAAATTACAAATGTTTACATAAATCAGAATGATAAGTCATCTTTTTGACCTCAGAATTTTGTTAACATCCGAGATTCAAGTCAGTACTGATATGTCCCTCACTGAATCTCATGAAAATAAGCCTTTCATTCGAGAAAAGAGAGCTTCTGAATTCAGTCACATGGTTTTAGGGCAAAAAAGAAACATTTATAAAAAAACAGAAAATCCCCAACATTCCAACCAGTATCTTAAAAATTCTGATAGAAAAGTGGCAAGTCAGAAAAAAATCCCAATTCTCAAGTGCAGGTTAAAAACACTTTCTATTTCAAATAAATTGTCATCATTTGATTGGCTCACTGAAACAAATGCATCATCATAATCTGTTGGGGGAATTACTTTTCAGTGTAACTACACAGTGCAGTTTCTGTTATTCATACATTACCGTCAATAGAAATAGGAACAAGAAGTGGGTACATTTACTGCAGTGTTGTATTGTTAATGTGTTCGTGTGAATTGTTCGTGTGGTTTGTTGATGAAAGTGGTGGTGAATTAAAATACAGTACCTTATGTTAAGAGGTGGCTTTAAAATCAATTTAACAATAAACTTTTGAGAGCTGAAGCCCTTCCTATGGTTTGCTCTCCATTATACAGTACACTACCAGCCCATCCCTTTACCTTTTAACATGTTAACACACTTTCTCAGTTGCTTGGTTTCATGTTGGTTATTGATACATTTTGAATAAAGGCTTATATTCTGGTGCACACAAGTGTTTTTTTTTAAAATACATTTTGAATAAAGGCTTATATTCTATATTTTAACGCATAAGTTGAACTTCAGCTCGATACAGCTTTATTTTTGCCATAAATTCATAATTTTTAAAATAGAAGACCTTTTAAATAGAAGATTTTTACAGGGAGTTCACTGCCTGATAAAGTCCACAACAGAACTAGTGGCTACTCTAACCTCATGTTTGGAAGGCTGTAGGTGTAAAAAGTACCGTGCAATTAGGCGTCCAGCTGTGTAATAATGAGTCACACAATGACAGTTTGGAAGATTCTTGTCAAACACCAGACAGCACCAAGGCCCAGTGATATGCCCAGCTTCTCCAATTAGGTGTGAAATCCAGCATGTGCTCCAGTAGGTCTTCATTTAGGTGGGGAAAAAAACAGGCAATGAAGCTCTGCTGAAGTCTTCGGGTGAGGTCAAACATCTGAACTGTGTCAATGACGCTAACCTTTACTGTCAGGGACTACAAAATGGAATGAAGTACTAGATTATACAGAGGTAGATGTCTCCCTTCCTGAACCATTACTAACCAGGTCTAACGGTCTGTGCCCATCACTGTAAATTTGAAAAACAAGCAGGCTGCCCAGGACAACGTCATTTATGTTGGGCCCTTGTTCCTGTTTTTTGTTCTCCTGAGAGTAAACAGCAGTAATAATAGACATATCTCTCAGATTGTAGTCTGATTTGACTTTTATTTTCCACATTTTCTGTTCCCTAAACGTGTGTGAGAAAAATAGAAATGGGCCTTTAAATACCTGGGAGATACTTGGACACAAATTGGATTAATATGTCAAATTGTTAAAAATCCTTTGTGAACCTTTATCAGTTTTATGTCACCCAAGTCACACTGAAGTTGGGGATCAAATGAAGAAGCTGAGATGAGATCAGCAGCAGCAGAAGGAAGCAGGTCAACAGATTTTCATTCACTTCCTGAGTGGTAATGAGGCACAGTTGTTTTCACCCGATCCTTTCGTAGAAGAGGAGGTAGGCTTGACAACTCTCCACCTGGCTCCTGCTCACAGAATGGACACTTGTGTCACTGATGTGGAACCAGGATCCGCCGGATGGATCTATTCCTGCATTGGAGCGATGTGGTAGTAAAGAGAAATCATATCGTCAATAACAGTATTGTCAAAGAAATGGGTTACATTATAACAGTGCTGTTGTAGAAGGTATTAGTCATAAATTACATCAGACTAATGTCCACAGTCTGTGAAGTGACTGTCAGGTCTGAAAATAGGGAGTGCTCAAGACAAAATGCTTTACAAACCAGTGAAATGACCCTTGATTAAGAGAACAAGTCAGCTATCAACAAAATTTACACAAAATTATGACAAACAACAACATGCCAAAAGGTTACTAAAAATTAAGGATGCATGAAATATTCAGGGTCATTGAAAATTCTAGTCCGGAAATTGTGTTTCAAGTTAACTGTAAAATACTAAAATATCTGATATACATAAACAATTAACCAAAATATGACTACAAATATTTTTTAAATCTTTATATTAAAACTACATCAAATTTTCTCAGAGACAACAGATCTAGCTCAGGATCCTCAAGTCCATATCACAAAAGGTATACATCTAATATTTAAATCACACTTAAGAGTGAGGCCGTACCGTCTCCTGAAATCCCGATGGATGTGGGACTGGGGTGCTCAGGTCGCACTTTTACATAGGCTGTGTAGTGACCAGATCTCATTGTTCCACGGTGCTCAACCACCCCATACAGACTGTACAAAATCTGAACCTCTTCTGTGTTGTGTTCAGACTAGAAAAATGACAAACATATAGTAACAAAAAGGAAAAGAACACCCATGCATGTATATATACATATGTATACATTATACTGAATAATATTATAAATATATACCTTGCACTTGACTCCACAATAAGGGGCCAAATCCAGTATCATGGGAAACTGCACATGTCTGTTAACCTTACAGATACTGAATGCATGCTAAAGGGAAATGACAACAGGGAAATTCTTGTTATTTGTTTTAGTGACAATAATAATAAATAATGTTTTTAGCTGACAGTAATTTCGATGTGAGCAATGAAACCTCTAGTCCTGTTTGTGTACCTGTTGAAATCTCTTCAGGTGCAGCGTCAGCACCGGTGGAGGAGAAGAGATCAGCATTTGCTTCAGAGCATCTGTGTAGACATTCTTCTTGGGTGCTTCAAGTACAAAAACAAATAAATATTTAAACAAAGGTAGAATGATTTTGTGGAAGTGTTGGTAGGTTTCTGTAGGTGTGTTCGTGTAGAAAAGTTTTACTCACTTCCAGCTTTTTCTTTCTGTCCCTGCTGTTTAGTGCAGGTGACACAGAGCAGGCTGTTGTTCTGTGTCAGAGTTTCCACTTCTGTGAACTGAAAAAGGCAGGACTGCACCGAGCATTCCTGTTTCTCTGGGGCTTTTCTAGAAGCCATGGTTTTAAAAGCCAACTCTGGGTCCTGGTGTACCACAGTGTACTCTTTCATCTCCTGATCCTCGGTGTCAGATTCTTCGATGGTCGTATCATCTAAATTGACTTTCTCCATCTCACTTGCCAGCTGTGCTTCCTCCTCTTCCTTCTGCTCTGTGTCAGAGGTTTTTTCTAGGACGATGTCCTTTGAATCCTGCTCTTTTGACAACGCTGCAAAGCGGTTGTTAACAGCCGAAGTAACTGACGAGCCCAGTTCGGCTTCTGAGTCCTCGTCTTCTTCTCTTTCTTTCTCAGCTGGTGCCACGTCCAGGGTGTGTTCTCTGGTCTCAGGACCAGCGATTTGTTCAGGTATTTCTTCATGGCCCTTACTGTCTTCATCTTGCCCTCCGTTGACGTCTGCAGAAGATTCTGTCTGTTCATTGTCAGCACAACTTGGAGAAGTGATACTATCCAGGGTGACTTGACCCTCCGATTTTTGCTGCCTCTTCTGCTGCTACAAACACAACAAGGTAGAAAATGTAGTTCAGTTCCAAAAAAGATTCAACACTAATTCATCGCACAGAGCAAAAAACACTCTGTGTTTTCTGTGCTACCTTGGCTTGTTTCTTTGCCTGCTTCTTTGCTTTCTTCTGCTGGTACTTACTCCCAGCCCCAGTGGGAATGTCCTCAGTTCCATTGGTCAAGACAGGACTGTTTCTTCCTTCTTGGTTTGAATCTGCAGTCTTCTGTCCTGCTTTTTTTGTATTCTTCTTCCTGTAAGCCTATAAGGTATAGTATGGACAAAAACATCATCATTATTTGGATTGTTAACACAAGAAGAACATGTATTATGTTGTTTTAGCCCATACATTTATGACCAGACTAGCTCTATTTAGGAAGAACACTTCCTTATATTATCAAGTGTGTCGTGGAAAACTATCAATTTTTAACGCAAATAGTTTGTCCTTATTCATCTATGCAACAGTGATTAAAAAATAAAGCCCATCTCTAAAGGTACATAATTGCATTCCTCTTATGTTTCCTTAGGCACTGCTCGTCTTCAGTTCAGGGCAGAAAATCGTAAATAATTTGATTTAAATATAAATTAGACAAAAAACAAAGACCACACCTCATCACAAACTGGAAGAGACAGATCCAAAAACATTTCCGTGACCACAGACACCTGTAAGTGCAAAGCAGAAAACACAATGTCACAGTGTGACATGACACTGACAGTTTTTGAACAAGTATTTTTAGCTGTGTCTACAAAGTACAAACCGTTCTACACTGCTGACACATTATAGTGCTCGTCATTTCTCCTCCAAACACCTGGTCAACAAAGTTTTTCAGGAGTCCGTGTTGTTCATATTCTGAAATCAGATGTGCAGATGTCAAAACTAGATGTTCGTCAATTGATAAATTGAACAGAAATAAACATGTTGACTTCAACCACGGTTACTTACCCTGAACCATTGTTTTCAGCTTCTCATCATTATCTGTGTTTTTCCTGGACTGTTTCAAAGCCTCTGTGATTCCTGAACGAATTCTCTGTCAGGACAAAAAGGGGAAAAAGTGGAATCTTAACCAGCCTGAGACAAACACCTTCTCCCAGGAAGAATTTATCATGGAACAACCTTCCTACAAAACTAAAGAAAATTACTGGGGAAAATACAAACTTTAAAAATGACTTCTGGCATTGTGCTTATACGTGATGTCGATCATTTTATTTTTAATGTGGTACACATCCATCTGTTCATCTTCTAGAGCCAAAACTGCTGAAGTACTTATCACAGTAATAGATCCACATGAAGATTTTACTTTTTTTTTTACAGGCTGGTCTGAGTTTTGAATCGTCATTATGTTCCTGTCTGTCCCTGATTTTTTAAACATGGCCACATAAACTGTCATACTGAAGATTTTATGTGCTAAAAACTTTTAATCAATGAGTTGTTTTTAAACGCACTTTGATCTCCTCAGCTCGCATCCCATCCAAAAGGTAGCGCAGCAGCTCTTGGCTATCTTGCTGCTGAAAGCCTCGAAATCTGGCAGCCCTGCAGAAAAGGAAGAAGAACTGAGTAAATATGTGAACGACATATAGTAGAACAGGGCGGGATTGGGTTTTTAAACCTCAAAACCTGAGTTTAAGTAGGTGACAATATATTTACTTTTTACAGACTTGTGTAAACAAGGTCTGTGGCGTCACCACACCCTTCAGAGTTTCCAGGATCTCACTGAGGAGCTGAGACATAGCCAGAGTCAGAGGTCCAGGCTGATCCAACTGCATCGTGACGGGTTCCTGTAATTAGAAAAACATTTTGGTAAGTTACAGGTACTGCCTGTTACAGAAACTTAATGACTTTATTGTGAAGTATATGAGAATAGTAAAAAACACACCAAATCTGGAAAAGCACCAGGATTGACGTGAAGAGCCAGGCTTTCTTCTGTCACCTTTTTGAGAGTGTTTCTCAGGAGTAGCGTTTGAGAGAGATTCTTTAAAAGAGAACAGCAGTCACATACCGGAACTTGCAGATTTCTATATTTTTGAAATAATGGAACTATTAAATAGAACCCAATTAATATAATTAAGGCAGTGGTTCCCAAACTTATTTGGCCATGTACAACCTTCTATATCCCAACTGGATTGACGCACCTCTTATTCCCTATGCCTTCAGGAAAAAAACAAACACAACAAGCTTTCCTATAAAAGAAGCATGTTTAACAATGGTTGATCTTGCATAAAGAGCGCTCGGGTTCTGCAACCCTTGGTATTTAGGATTTGTGTAATTAACATAATAAAAACAATAATCATTTTAAAAAAAACATCATATATAAATAAAACGTCATATATAAAATAGAAATCATAATTCAAAAAAAAACATGTCATATATAAAATATAAAGAATAATTTTAGGGAGAAAATAGCTTTCAGCTCATCGCACTCATAACCTCTTCTTAAACATCACATTTAATCGTGCTCACATGACCAGAACCATCATAGAACAAAAAAATCACGTCAACAACAATGCGCTCTCGTGTTTGAATTAAACTGAAATGGAACTGAAATGTAAGTTTCACAGTAAAAGCACAAACAAAAAAACCCAAACCGCCATCACTTTTTTTAAATCTCGTGCACACCCTAGTGGCAGCTCGTGTGCACCACACTTCATGGCGTTTTTTTAACAAACATAATGGTCCCTGGTACTATGCGGTAGACACTTTCAGCCTCTCTTACCTGAATGACGGAGTTAAAAAAACACGTGTTTCCCAGGTTGCTCAGACCCTTCACTGGAATTCCAGCTTTGGCGTCAGTTTTTATGGACTTCTGGGATTTTCCCAAATTCTCCTCTTTCTTAGTCGTTTTCTGTTTGTTGTCCTTGTTTTCTTTGTTATTCTTGTCTTCATTTTCATGTCCATTTACAGCTTCTGTCTTTTGATCCACTTCCATCATGTTATCCTCCTCTTTAACTCCTAAATAATAATAATAAAGGGAATTGTACATGTTATTGACATAATTTCAATATACAGGTGCAGCTCAAAACAAACCTGAATATTGTGAAAAAGTTCAATTTCTTGACAATAATTTCAGTGAAGTGAAACTCATATTATATACATATCACATAAACAGTATATACTGTATATTCATTAGTGAAATATTTCAAGCTTGTATATCTCGTAATTTTGATAATTACTTACTGAGACCTAACCCTAACCCTAACCCTAACAGATAATGAAAAAAATTAAGTGTCTCAGACTAAGACTAAGAAAGACAGAAGAAGAAGATCCACAGTTGTGATGCCTGAAGGAGGCAGCCAAAGAAGGAAAAGAATGAAGGTGCCTACTTTTTTGTGGTCTCTTTATGGAATCTTCAGAGGTGTGTTTTTTGAGGTTAGTTAACAGCTGAGCCAAATGTCCAGTTCTGGAGAACTGAACTTCATCATCACATATGTAACACCTAGACATTAGAAAACAAGACAGAAATCATGCATTTTTGATATAACAGTATTATAATGTCCCCACATGACTGAGGAATGTTATTTGGAAAAGCATCAATAGGTGAGATTTGTGTTTCAAATGTAATCTATTACTATTAATATTATTAGTTATTTCTTTAGGTGAACATACAGTACTTACCACACACTCCAGTTGTCTACACTGACCACTAGGCAGTGTGGATCAGAACGTGGAGTCTCATAATGTCTGATCGCATGTTTCTTCTCAGAATTTCGGCCACAGCCCTGATGGAAGACGAACCCTCATGACTTTACTTCAGCTTCAAATTAGTCAGTTTTGAGCAGATTTGTACTAGTCACAAAAGCAGTTTTAATATGATGTCATTACAGATTCAGGTTACAGTAAGTGCTGCCAACTAAAAGGGACACCTGTCCTCTAAGGCTGGATCTGGAATCAATTATAAATAAGGCAGAATAACAAACCAATTTACCATTTAAACCATTAAATTTTAAATCAATCTGAAAATGGACAGAAAGCAGAGTGAAGCTAAGTTGATTTTCTATAGGTTTGTTGATAGTCTGAGCAAGAAGATTATTCTGTCTAAATGACTGTTCTGTCTTTAGTTAAATCTAAATGCATCACAACTCACCCTGTGGCCACATTTTAAGCACATCCATATGGCTGCTATTTCTTGTTCGTCTTCTGAGTCGTGTGACAGGAGGTTGCTGTTATTTTCTTTATTTTCCTCATGATTACAGTCCTGACAGCTGTTCCAGTCAGAGTTCCCACTAAGTTTCTTCAGAAGAGTTTGGTCAGTTCCTTTCTTTATGTGTCTACATGAAGGACCTGTGAAGTTACAAAAATAGCAAGAGAAGCTCACACCATGCCTTTCCCTGTCATACCACACAAGTGAAAGTGTAGCATCCATACATGAGCCAGCAGGCAGCCCAGGAGACTTAGTCATCACAGAAACAAACATCAATGGAACCACCACTAATGACATGGTTTCTGATTGGACCAAAGGTATTTTATATGGTATGTAAAATAAAAAACTATTTGATCTCTGGTGTAAATAAATATTTATGTAAGTATGTAAATGCATCTTGAAGGGCAATGGCGCTGGAAGTCTTCCATGTGTGGGTTTTATGGTTGGCAGTAAAGTCAGAGGGAATAGCAGTTCTAGCTATATTTAAATAGATCTTTATAGTCACTGTTCACAAACCAATGAAAAGCTGTTAATTAGCTCTTTAAATGAGCAGCACCAGTATAAGAATAAAAATAAGGTTTAAAGCCAGCTATAAAAAAACAATTTATATTAAATACAAAATATCAGGGTGGAAAAAAAAAAACAATTTAAATTAAATACAAAATATCAGGGCGTGGGGCTATACACAGTGTGCAATGTAAAAATTAGATGAACAATTCTGTAGAAGAAGAACAGTGACCTAAAGTTGTATTGAATAAGCTTGTAAGCTTGTAAACAAGAAAAGTTCAAATAGGGATTTAAAATTCTGTAAGATTCTCATACTGACCAGGGTGAGGCAGCAATCTGTACGATTGTCCAATTTTTCATCTTTTCCTTCTATGTAAGAAGGAAAAGATGAAAATCGTTTAGTTTGGTAGTTGATTTAGGAATTCTCTTGATATCCCTTTGTTGATAAGCACATGCAGCACGAAGAAAGATGTATATTTGGATGCGCGACATCTCTTAAATAATTACGTTTGACAATGATTTTACCAAAACAAAAGTAAACGTCCGTAAAGTGATTACCTGAAAAATCAAATTCTTCTTCTTCTCTTGAGCCTTTGTCTTTTCCTCTCTTCTTTCCCATGTTCACCTAACACCACACTGACCTGAGGTTACGCTATCTCTATAAACTCACCAACTTTTCATAACAACATATCCACACAGGGCAGACCAATGTAGCATATGTTGTAGTTCACAAAACTTACAGTTATCAAAGAAGTCCAACTACATTCGCAATTTTCGCTTTATTTTTTAGTTTGTAGGGATAAAATGTTTAATTCCTGACAACGTTTGCGTTCTAGAAGGAATATACAGTTAATTCGAAGCCTGAAGTATAAAAACAGGGCAGTAACTGTTCATTATTTGCCAAATTGTCACTCGTTACATTGACTGGAAATCACAAACTGACACATGTACTCTAATAAAACGCTTGTTGTCGCTTCCTGTGTGCAACCTATGAAATAGTCCGTGTTGAAACAGCAAGGAGTTAGGCGATTATAAAAAAGAATACATTTTAAATGTTAACTTGGACTTTCAAATTTCTTTAGTTTAAGCTTCTTGATAAATACTAAATAGTAATAAAGAAACACGCAAGACTTCGTGTTTGGAGAAAAATGTAAACTAAATAAATACATTAATAAAAATAGTTTTGACCCTTAGCATTTGCCGTTTTGTGCGTCTTTTAAAACTGTCCGTGTTGCAACATACAGCTTTGTTTATCAAATATTTTTGGAGTCACATACATGGTTAGGACATGATAGGGTGGAATCCACGTGTAAGTTCTGGATTTGAATAGGTAATATGTTTTACTTTGGATGAATCGGTCCTACGATTGCCATGTTTATTTGACAACAAATAGGTATTAGTTTTGATTTTGTAACAACACGCGAAGACTGAGGCTTTTAGAAGCATGTCTCACTTGGAGTGGGCTGAGTCTCAGCTGGCAGAAATCGAACTGTTGACCAGCATGTTTCCCACCCGGGAAGAGCTGGAGCTCACAGATCCGCTGGCACTGGCCGAGCTGAGAGAGTATGTAGAAGGTAGAACATCAGCAGGTAGGCCCCCGCCTCTCAGACCCCAGTTTCTTATTAAATACAAGCTGGACACTGCGAGCACAGATAAGGTAAAGTACTTAGACTACGATTTGATGTCACTGGACTTTAAAGATAATGATCTAACTAAGTTCCTTTCTTTTATTCAGATTGATTTCATTCTATCCTGTGCTTATCCATCTGAGTACCCTAATGTGTTACCAGAGATAACAGTCAGGTAAGTGTCAGTGTGATGTTGATACATATAAAAGGTTTATAACGTGGAGAAATCTCACCAACCTTATGGGCTGAAAATCAGAAAAGATAAACGTAGATACAGGGTCACATGTTAATTGTTAAATATTAACAGTTTTGTTACTTGTTACCATAGGTGTGTTGGTCTAAGCCGGGCCCAGCAGACACAGCTCCACTCTGCTCTTAACATGTACCTGACAGAGAACTGCCAGGGTGAAGTTTGTGTGCTCTCTGCTGTGGACTGGGTGAAAGACCACTTACAGCTCTTCGTTGATAGGAGCTCATCCGCAGCAGCAGCAGCAACTCCGAAGAAAGAGTCTCATCCCCGGCCAGTGGAAGTGTTCAGCCGACTGTGGATCTACAGCCACCACATCTACAATAAGACCAAGAGGAAAAACATTTTAGAGTGGTCCAAAGAGCTCGGCCTGTCGGGGTTCAGCATGCCGGGGAAGCCTGGTATTGTGTGTGTGGAAGGTCCTCAGTCAGCCTGTGAGGAGTTCTGGGCCAGGTCTGGTTAATTTGTGGTAACAAGTTTTACAGCCAAGTTTTTTCTTGACATTTTTAAAATGAATCTGTCGTTTTCTCTCATTTTACAGAGTGAAAGTTCTGACATGGAAGAAAATCATGATTAAACACAGGGAGGATTTTGCCCTCAGTCCTCGCTGTCAGGATGATCAGACTATGGAATGTCTTCAATCCCTGCGTAAATTCACAGGTTTTGAAGAGGCTATGTTTGACCCACACGGTAACAGAGGCAATCACATGGACCTTGGACAACTTTACCAGTTTTTAAACGAGAAGGGCTGCTGTGATGTTTTTCAGATGTATTTTGGCATTGAAGGAAGGTAGCTGTCCAATAAAGATTTTTATACATTTTGCTCTGTTTTTTTTACTCCTTTTTTCAGAATTCACAAAAGACATTCGATTAATAGACTTTCCATTTTTAACATGGAAAATAACCAATTTCAGATTGCTTATTAAAAAAAAAAAGTTTCTAATTTACTGGATATCTATCGTTAAGACATTCGTCAGCAGGGGGCAGCATCGACGCAGGTGAAAAAAAATCTGCATCGTATGAGATAAGAATTTACCGTTAACGTTAAAACCTGCATAAGTTGTACAATGTAAATAGAGAAAATATTTCGATATACAGTACTATTACAGTAATGAGTTGTTCTACATAATGTGTACACAAGTGATTTTATGTTTCTTAAAAATAGGTACAGAAAATAATTGTTTTTTTTCCCTCTGACACTTTTATTTAGGTTTTTCATCAGTGTCAACAAACAAATGCTAATGAATATTAATTACATATGGAGGTTAAAATATATGTAAACTAAAACAACTAATCGGTAAAAAAAAAGAAAAGAAAAAAAGTAGGTGAGACCAAGGGGGACAAAGGTCATGAACAACTGCTAGTTATTTTTGTGCTCCAAGCACGGGGGTGTTGTGCACACGCAAAAACTATTTGCTCTTATTTGTATTTGTCGTGAGCTTTAACTGTTAACTGTTCTGAATTGAACTCCTTACTTATTTGTTTTCTGAATACAGGATGATGCAAGTAGACTAATGGCAGATGATTATTCATCTCTATTTCCCCCCTTACCCTCGTGTTCCTCCCTGCATTATTCTCAGTAGAATCTCCATCAATTAGATCCCCCAAATTCTATTTTACTTTTGAATGAAATAAATAAATAATGACAATTAAATGAATAAAAACAGACTGAAGTAATTATTAGACTAACAAGTAACCAACCAACTAACTAACTAATTATTGCAGACTGGGAGTCATCTGGTGTTCATTAGATTATTGATCACACACTCAGGAAAATGTTAATAAAAACTATCTCCCCGTCGGGGAATTGAACCCCGGTCTCCCGCGTGACAGGCGGGGATACTCACCACTATACTAACGAGGATATATTAAAAACCAAAACACAACAATATGTAATTTACACCTACTTTGCTTTAAAAAAAGCCATCGACTTATTCAAGTGAACTCGGAAGCGAGCTTGGAGCAAGAGACTTTCGTCCAATAGGTGGCAATATTGCCCATATGGGCATTTACGCTCTGGTTTCTCCCAGACAAAGCAAAGAAACGTTGCATTTGCAAACAGTACCAGGAGTCTACTGTAATTACAGGTTATTGTGACCAGGTGATTCTCAGACACTCTGTGTTATACCTTTCAACCATCAATTCGGCTTAACGGTAAATTGACCATTTCAAATTACAGACTGGATTTATTTTCCATTTATTTTCTATTTATAACAACAATAAACCGTAAAAGTGAGTTGCTCTTTCCTTTAGAGATGCGTTTCTAAAAACAGACGTTTTCAGTGCTTTTAACTTCCTTTTCCACTCGACCTGAAGGAAGCAGAAGGAGTGGTATTGACATCGGCCACAGCCGGAAAAGGTAATTACCTCCACTTCTGGTCAATACAGGTCAGAAATACCATATCAGGTGGAGTGTATTGTCTTCAACCCTGTTATTGCTCCTGACCTGTGCCTTAGGTGTTGTGTCCACTCTCTGAGTGTAGCCCATAAGAAGAAAACATCATGGATTCCATTGCTTTGTCACTGAAATAAAACAAAGAAAACGTATCAAAACAATGCATTCATGGATGGAATTACTTTTGTATATTAATTGATGAAAAAGAGAAAAGCAGAGATAAACTTTGTTGTCTATTGTTCTAACTCAGTGTTTACGATATCATTTAATATAATTTTTTTAATGTTTAAAATGATAATAATAAAATACACATGTATTTTCCACATGTATGTAACACATTTATTTTATCCATTTTAGTTGCAGACACTACCCAAAACCAAACACCTTCTTGAGTCATCATTCCATTTAAACAAAGCATTGTTTCTGGTAATCTGCCCCCACAACAGAATATCTAAAAAAAACACAAAAAACTAGAGGAGCCATAGTGCTAATTACAGAAAGTCAAAGATACATGTATGCTGAATGTAAATTAAAATTGTTGATAGAAAAAAAAAATGAAATTGAAAATTCTCACTGCATGTTTTCTACTACTGAAGGTGACACGGAGAAAATGCATCATGTAATGACTAAGATATCAATCTTAATATGATTTCCTACCTGGGATTTAACTGACGACTTTCCAGAATCTTCTGCCTTGTATTGCTTTCAGTAGGTGAATTCATGCTCCTGGCTTCATGCAATAAAGTACCAAATAAAATCAAAATATATTGTCGTAAATTAGGTTAAAGTAAATTATATTACGTATCATGCGTTTCAGATTTTTAAAAATATTTGTAATGTTTCTTTGAGAGTTTGAGTTTTTTTACCCTTTTTTCCTTTCTTATGTTTTAAATTGTATATTCACAGACATATGTTATATGATATATAGATAGATAATACAGTTACAGCTCAGTAAAAAAAACTCTGCAAAAACAAGTTCTCAAAGTCTATTACAGCCTCAGCTCCGATTAAAAACCTATTCTACATTAACTCTTACTCAAACACTGCTGGGTTTTTCCCTCCATTTCTCTTTATTTTATGCAATAACTCAACAGGACTACTGATGCATATAATTGAATTCGTTTTGAACAATGTGAAAGATTTTTGCTTGTTCTGATGTGATCGTGCTCTAAAAGTGAGCACAATAATGACAGAGCCACGCCAACAACAAGGTATAGTTTCAAAAGCTCCATGTGGATTGAGTTTTCAAAATAAAAGGTGTGGCATAAGGCACATTTTGAACATTGGCAACAGAGCAGGTCAGCGTCTGTACCAACTCTGCCTTCATTTGTCCATGAAGGCAGATGTGTTTGTCTATTACATGACTCACAAACTTAACCGTCGAAGGATTACCATTAGCATTATTAAATAGACCCCAAATAGTTGCAATTAATTAACGGAAAAATATTGGAATAAAAATAGAACGCTTGCTTTGAGATAGTTATATTCACACAGATTTAAAAAATAAATAAAACAATCTCAATATAAAAATGACACCAGGATTAGCAACATTAAACAGACAACTGAAATGTAAAGCAGGAATAAACACAGGACAGAGCAGAACAGCTGCAAAAAAGGATAAAAATACTGAAATACAACCAAATATTAGAACTGTCAATCAATGTTTTTCATAAGCTCAAACACAGGGTAGCTGTGATTAATCCTATTATCATATATATATTCAGATGAATTATTCTTCATAAATTCACGAGACTGAAATGCTATTTTCAATATAAAACAGAATGGCAGTGATGCCTTTATGTTCACACAGTCAACTGGAGGGTTGTGTCCACAGCTGAAGTTCAGTGTTCAGTATTTGATGGTGACTTTATGGAAACAGCATCAGTCATTTTAAGTGTATGTTTTTATTATCAAAGCAATTAAACAAACCA